ACGTAGACGAGGGCGACGCCCAGGGGGATGTGATGTGGCCGGAAACCGGAAGGGGGAGGCGAGGAGCAGAGGAGGTAGAGGAGATCGGGCCCGCGGGAACTCACCGTGATACCCATGACACGAATCCTGGGCCTGAGGACGGGCGCACGCGTGCGCGCAAAGACTCCGCGTGGATTGAGGGTGGAGGGTAAGTGGAGAGGAGACTGGAGAGGAGGAAGGATGAGGACGGCGTTCAAATCGAAAATAGCCCGATCGGGAAGGATTCCCACGTGCAGACGCCAGACAAGGGCGCCAAACACATTGAATCGCCCGCGCGACTCGAGTTTTTGCTGATCCTTTTGGAGGAGAGAGACAGCTCGGATGATGTGCACTAGAACACATGTACATACAAAACAGAAATAGGGAAGGGTACAGTGGTGGGTAGCTCGAAAACCTCGAGTCGCGCCTGGCAGCAGCACGGAAGGGTGTGAGCAAGGCGGACGAGCGCGAGTGTGAGAGCCTCGCCTACTCACCTGGCAGCAGCACGGAAGGGTTGAGCTGGCATGGAGCCGCCCTGCGTCCTCCTCGTACTGCCCGGCGAGAGGGGCTCGCGCCACGCACGCCATTGACTCGTCAGAAGCACCCGTTAGGGGTTGGAGCTCCCGGGTTGTGTGGCATGGGGCAGACACGCCGTGGGCGTGTCGAGGTGCGCGTGGGCCTCCGCGCTGGAGGGCGCACGGCAGCGCGCACACGCACTTCCCGGAGGACGCGTGGCGGCAGGGACAGGTGCGGCGTGCTCAGCGCGTCCACTTGGAGGACTGGCCGCTCTCGCGATGTGCCAGCTTGCGGGGAGAGGCGCCGGCTCTTCGCGCTCGTCTGAACGGGCTCAGATTTGGTGCCGGGCCGCTGCGTGGGCGACTCAACTCGTGTAAACCGTGTTTAAACACCGATCAAATTGAAAGTAGGTCATGTTTTGTCTATGACTCAGTCGCTTTGTGACCAAATCAAACAAACAGTATGGGATGCCTAGGGCAGAATGAAAAACATTATATATTTTAAAAATGAGCTATACATTGACTCAAGATCTGACATGCAGATCAGACCAGTATCTAGCAAGTGCGACTGTATAACCCCAACGGTAATAGGGGTGCTGTAGGTGCACACGTAGAAATGCAGAAGTGCGGGGCCTAGAATACGTGCAGGTGGAGAATGGATACGAAGATGAAGAGGTTTCGTACCAACGAGGGTGGGGGCTAAACTCGGCGCGTGCGCGCGAGCGGCAGAGCACGGACACCGCACCCTGAAGCACAGGCGGAGCAATACAGAGTCCGACTGTGGAAGTGTCGGCTCACGCAGTCTTACACCCGCCCTCGCCGTTGCGGGCCCGGACCCCGCCACCGACGGGCACACCTCTGAGGGCTTTGTGTACACCCAGGGCGTTGTGCGCTCTACTATCCCCACACTCACGCAACTGCGCGCGAGAGCCTGGCCGGGAGCACGCAGACGCCCCCGGTGTTGCCTTCGCCGCAGACCTTCGGGTGTACAGTCGGCGAAGTGTGTCGGAAGAGGCCAAAGCCGATCCAGAACGGTGGGCATACGCGAGGTCACCAAGAAGGAGAGCTAGCTGCTACCATCGTGCGGCCAGTGAGCAGGTGTCAGAGGTGCATGGTGCAATGATACACATACAGTCCACTCACCAAGCTACTTCCCCGGCGCAATGTCCAAGCTCCAGTCCCACTCCTGGTCTCTGTTCCCATTCTTGTGCACTGCAAGCATGCACTCGAACACCTTCAACTTCTGGTTCATAAGTCACCGCGTGCACGCGCATCGCCGCCTTCCGGAACTTGCACGGGAGTCCCTTCTAGTTAGATGCGAGGACAGTCTTCACCGCGAGCCCGTTGGCGTCATCGTTATCCTGTCAGTGGTCGTGCTGGCGCCGATACTCCTCCCCGAACTTTGCAGCCGCGAGTCCCAGGCGCGGGAGGAACGGGAGCAGGCCGCCGTTCGAGCCACCGTTCGAACGTGCAGACATTGATGCGCACTCGACTCACACCTTTTTGCGCGACACAGTGAGTGTTGGAATCTGCTCACGTGTATGGCAAGCTCGGTCGTACCTTACTTGTGCTTAGTCATCGTGTAGATAGCCATCGTCCCTCGTCCCGCACTCGCCTCACGCGTTTGCCCTTCACCACCACCTCGTTCTCCCCCGCGTCCGTCTGTACTCGCCTCCCGGTGCCCATAGGGACCAACCGCGTGGTATCGATTGCCTTTACCCCCTCGTCCGACCCCGACCGAGCCGCCGACTTCTAACAGTGAGTAGTATGCGGCACGCCTGGCGCCCGAGGGCAGGTCGACCGCCGCGAGTGGGTAAGGGGCAAATGTGAAGCCTTGAAGCCAGAACGGAGGCACTTGATGTTGTCTACGAGAGGACCAGCGAATTGATGGTATCGCGAAAAGCTTGAGAGGGCCGCCCGTGCGCGTGTACGTTGGTAGCAGGGGTGGTGGGCGCGAGTGCTCATCTGCTACCCACGGCGCAAGCGGCATGCACAGTGCACGCCCAACTGGCCATGCCTCGTGAAAGAGGTCCACGTGCTCAAACAGGAGTACCTTCACTAGAGCCGTTTACATACGAACGCGGAATCAATGATTCGCAATTTTCGGGAGACACCCAGGCACCATGCGCGAATGTGACTCGCGAGTCACGCCTCGCGCCTCGCGCCTGGCTCGCGCGTGCGCGTTGAGTCCCCCGCGTGATGCAACTCGCGCGTGTGCATTTTGAACCTCCAACTTGACGGCCTCTGCTGCAGCGCACACTCCAGAAGCTTCTCCGCAGTGTCGCCCATAGACCCTTCTGGCGGCGCACCTGGCGCACCGAGCTCTGCCGCGTCACCCTCGACGACACACGAACGGGCCCTCGAGTGGGCCAGTATACGGACTTGCGCACGCTGGGGTATCAATGCAACCCGCTGGCGGGACATGTACACGGAAGAGGACAATGAGGTCGTACCAGGGGCGGAGGTGGCTGTGGAACGAGTACTTGCACCAGGGAGGTTCTGTGCGCAGTGCGTGAGGGCATCTGGGGGGGAGAGAAAACGGGTCAGCAAAGGGGTGTCGCCCACGCTCAATTGCATACAGATGCGCGCTAGCGAGCAAAGGTGCAATGACTGCATGGTGATATCGCCCGAGGGAGAGGTACGGTTTGTTGCCATATATGGCGGTGAGGGGGTTGGCGGGTGCGTGGGTGACGTCCGACATGTTGGGCAGGATACCAAACCGCCAGATGGACATCCTTTGGGACACTAAGATAGAAGCATAAAGGTGCTCTTCTAGAGCGTTATGAATGGCGTCTTCAACCTCTTCGACGGAAAACCATTGGTGGCGAGCGTACGAGACACATGCGGTGCTGCATGTGGCAGGGCGGCTCCTGTTACACAAAGATACTTCAGGAAGCGGACGCAAAGCAGTAATCTGCGGAAGCGTAGTGGCCATATAACGAGTTCTGTGTACAGCGGGACTTGCACGCTATTGGCTGGGAGGTCCAATATGAGCCGCGTGTAGCCATGTTGCACCGCCGCCAGAGAGTGTAGGTCAATTTCCCAGTACCGCACCTGCTACGAGGTATGGGAGCCGTGAGACCCCCAAGGGTGCCGGGCACGCGTGCGCAATGTTGCGTGCATCAGAGGCATGTACAAAGACAGTGTGTAGTGGCTCATTCATTGCGCGGGCCTGCTCGATGACCACTTTGAGGACAAATGTATTATTTTCCGTTCTGTGCCCCGTGCGGAAGCCGTTATGTTCATCAGGAAATCCGTGGCTACCCTCTCCCCACGCGCAGAGACGAGGCTCGACAAGGAGGGTCACTGTCTTTAGGAGGCAGCTTTCGAGACCGATTTTGCGGTACGAAGTAGGTTCCTGCGGGTCTTTGCCTCGCTTCGGCCCCGCCGCTAGGCGGATAGCTGTTGTCCGTGAAGCAGGGAAAGTTCGGCTACGAACACACTCGTTAAAGAGCTCAGCGAGTTTGTCTTTGTGCATCCGTATGACGAGTGTGGGCGCACAGGAACGTCGTCGTCATTGTCACTGTCATCCACCACACTGCCGTCGGCATCGTCTGTGTGTGAGACAGTGTCTCGCAGTTCGATGCCAGGTGCATGGTAGGCTCGATCATCCAGCCGGTCGGTTCAAACTCCGATGTGCCTTCGGCGGTCGGTTTACCGACCGGCTGGTCAAGCTGGTCGCCCGTTTGGCAGGACCGCTCACAAAGGAAGCTGGACGTGAGGGTCTTAGAAAAATCGCGCGTTTTGGCCTCTGGGGTTGCTGGAGCTCCCCTGTGCACGTCCCTCCAGTCCATTCCCTCCGGTGTGCGGGTTGTTTCAGCTGGTTATAATTATACATAATGAATCATTTGTGAAGAAAATGTGGGTATACATCGTCATTCTCGCATGAAAGCCAGGTGCTAATGCGCTGCTCGACGGGTGGAGGAGGCAAAGGGTGCAAAACCGGGGTGGGGAGGGTGCATGCAGATGACGGGATGACGAGGTGCTGCTGGGGAAAGTCGTTACAGTGTGAGGGTACGCTGATGAAAGCCGCCGAAGTCCGCGCGACGACTTGCGCAATGGGTAGCACCACGGGAACGTCCAGTCGCAATGTTGCGTGATCCTGCGCTCGCACGACGCGAGCACAACGGTGCCGCGCGCGCCCCACGCGTCTCAGGGCACGGCCGCGGTGCCGCTGCGGGCTAGCGCGTGGAGGACCGCGGCGGAGATCAGGATCGTTGCGAACTGCTAGGTGTGTTGGGCGAGGTGTAGCGCGAGGATGCGCCGGGAGGGGTACGGCAGGAATGGCGTGTAGGCGGGGCGGGGCGGGCTTGCTGGACTGCCATATCGTCGCGCGGCGCGCGAACGGGGAACAGCAGGCCCGCCGCACCCTCGCCGCGTGAGTGGGGCAGCTTGAGGGTGACGTGCTCCAGAGGAGTGAGGCTGCCAGGCTCGGAGTCAGCGCTTCCCGTGGGGCCTGCGCGTCCTGTCGAGCCTGTGCAAAACCCCCACCCCGAATATATGGGCTGTGCCAGGGGCGCAGAGCTGCAATGCATGCTGAACATAAGCGATTTTGGAGGGGGCAAGGCGGGGTGCAGACACGAGGGATGACATACTGCAAGCAATACCAGCCGATGGATACATCGTGGGCATCCCAGCCGTGGGTGTCAATGAGCATATCACACGGGAAAGCACGTGGGACTCAGATGCAGAACCCAGTGCTGACATCGCGGGTGTACTAGTGGAGCACATTCAAGCGGGTGTAACTGGCGAACAAGTGGGTGTGCTGTTGTAGGAGGGCGGGAAACTTGAGGATAAGCTTGACGTCGCAAACGAAGGTGGAGCAGAGGGGCTCCTGCCCTCACGATTGGACCATGAGAGAGATGACGATATGATCTCGGTACTAGTCAGTGGTCACTGCTCACGCGATACCATCGCCGTTGCTGCAGCAAGAGACCATGTTCGACGAGGATAAGGAGCGCTGTTTGGACACCAAGGACTACTATTAACAGCTTCCATGCCACATGTTCATCAACTCACCTAAACAGAGTGTGAATGCCAGGCTGCCAGCGCAGCACCCAGAGAGTGCGGACGCGGCGCGAGGGCAGGTGCGCTGAAAGCGCACGCGCGTCCAGACGACTGCAGGGTGCTGAACGCGGGATTTTTCTAAGTCCCTCACATCCAGCTTCCTTTTTGAGCGGTCCTGCCAAACGGGCGACCAGTTTGACCAGTCGGTTTGGGATTTGTAAGGACTGGGACTCACGCACCAAGTACGGGAACAGTTCGGAGCCTCGCGCATCGATACAAGCACGACGCGAGGCCCCCGTGATCGCGCGCGGGCATTCTGCTGCGCGCGCCGAGCCTCTATCTGTTCCGCTCGCGCCGGACTTTCCTGGCGCTCCCTCTTCCCCTCTCTTCTCGTTGATCTCACTGTGTTTTTTTATTTGGACGATGGCTTGATTACATTACCACCTAACCTAAGTTTCGGCCCCGACCTCATATACTTATATAGACGTCTGCGCCGACCTGTAGTAGGTAGCTTTTCGGGATACGACTGTCTCCTACTCACTCTCGTGTGCCGTCTCGCTCTTCCCGTGTTTGCCTCTCCTCGACCAGCGTCTCTTCTCGACACTCTCGACACCTTCGACGCTACGCCGAGGCGGCGACCTCACAGGATTCTCCTTGCCTTTCGAACTCCGCTATTCCCATCACGCCGCATAGATGTCTCCCCGATCGGGAGAAAGGTAAGGAGAATCCCGACCGACTGGTCTAGGTGCATGGCTGCCTACGGTGTCGTCTGGCTTGTGTACAGGTATGAAGAGGTGCCATGTCATGTGAACCTTCGTTAAGGAGGCTGTGGTAGGGTTGAGAGGCTCAGCAGCGATGCTTTCACCGAGATCCTCGCTGAGTTTAGGAGGTTTATGGTGAGCGGATCTGGTGGTTGCGGAGCAGCGCTGTTGCCTGCATTGAATGCGTTTCGTGGTGACTCCCCTAAGTGACTTACTAACCTAACCCAAAACTCATATGATGAACGTGCACAGTGCCATGAAGGAACGAAGAGAGCCTCCGCCGGTGCTCGTGCGCGAGCCGAGGCTGTTCATCGTGTTCTCGGGGTCCTTAGATTTGATGGCTTGGCGGGTCGACGACACTGTAGATCAAGTTGAATATCTAATCGTCTTTAGCAGGTGTGCGGGGAAATATGGGATGGCCGAGGACGTAGTGAGCTTGACTGTCGGCGAGGTTGTCGGTCGGTGGGCTCGCACTCGTGAGCAGCGGCATGGTGGCGGGGATGCTGGCCAGCACGCATGTCGCGCGAGGTCTTGTAAGCGGCGTCCTGCGGGTGTCTCGGTGATATAGTGATGCGGGTGTCGGTTGGTGCATCGCGCGGGCTACCCCTCCTCCCTCATCTCCCCGCATCCAGCGCCGCCGCCTCCATTGTTCTCTATACACCGTTACCGACCCCTCTGCGCCCCACATCTCCGGCTCCGCTCTGCGCACCCTCTGTCTGTCTCGATTTATGCTATATAAGAGCCGTTTGGAAAGTTACGATAGTGCACCGTAGTAATCGTGAGTTGGCGCGTTGGAGTCCTTGCTCCATGCGACTGTTGGCGGGTGTTTGGCCAGCTCTTTGCATGTCATAGACACTCTGCTAACAATCCGGTATTCTGGGGTGTAAATTGTGTTAGAAGTCGGCGGCTCGGTCGAGGTCGGAAGAGGGGGTAAAGGCAATCGATACCACGCGGTTGGTCCCTATGGGCACCGGGAGGCGAGTACAGACGGACGCGGGGGAGAACGAGGTGGTGGGGAAGGGCAAACGCATGAGGCGAGTGCGGGACGAGGGACGATGGCTATCTACACGATGACTAAGCACAAGTAAGGTACGACCGAGCTTGCCATACACGTGAGCAGATTCCAACAAATTGTTGTAGTGCCTATATGACGAATCAATAACAGCTTTCTGTATGTTGGAAGCTTGGCAGACATTATGGCTCCTAAAAATCAGGATTCATTCAGGTCTAGCAGTTGAAAATATCTGTCACCCTTGTGAGTATGGAAATCATATATGGAATGTACAACAAGCCTTTGTTTTGGTGAGTCCCCAACTTTGACCTCCTGCTTCACCCATACGGCTACTGCCACACCCTCGACATCCTCATCTACTTCGCCTTGCTTTGCCTCCATGTCATCCGCCTGCGCATCATCAATGCGGTCCTGGACCGCGCTCTGCGCGCGAGACGCACTCATCACGTGTCATCCGCCTGCTGCAGCGCGGGGGCGGTCCTGGACCGCGCTCTGCGTGCCAGACACACATTCATCACGTGTTGATCCCCCTCCCCGCGGCGCCACTGCGGTCCTGGACCGCGCTCTGCGCGCGAGACGCACTCATCACGTGTCATCCGCCTGCTGCAGCGCAGGGGCGGTCCTGGACCGCGCTCTGCGTGCCAGACACACATTCATCACGTGTCATCCGCCTGCTGCAGCGCGGGGGCGGTCCTGGACCGCGCTCTGCGTGCCAGACACACATTCATCACGTGTTGATCCCCCTCCCCGCGGCGCCACTGCGGTTCTGGACCGCACTCTCCTCACGAGGGCTGTGGCTGAAAATGGCGCTAATGTATGTCCTTTTAGCTGTCTGCTTTTGGCAATCACCACTCTCTTCCTTGTGCCTTGGGTGCTCCTGTTCTTTCCTCTTTAAGTAATGTGTGCAGTCCCTGTTCTCCACTGTGTGGTGTCCTCTCCCTGTGTTTTCCTTTTATAGTAATTCCCGTTCTCTCTGTCTCTCCCTGTGTTTTCCTTTTATAGTAATTTGTGCTCTCCCTTGTGTTTTCCTTTTATGGTAATTGTGCTTTTGGTGAGCCACTGGCGTCTATTTCTCAAACCAACAACCCTGGAGCTCTCCTCTATAACCTAATCTAACCTAAACTCGTGCCTGTAGTGCGGTGCTTGCTTCCGACCATCCAAATGGCAGTCGTCAAAGAGCGCGAGGGTGCAGTAGTTGTGGCAGAACACGTCCGGGGGGGAGGCACTGTTGCCACAGAACGCGCCTTCTTCATCTTGAGCTGGCGGCGGGGGTCCTCAACATGCTGGGGTGCTCTTCCTCCTGCTCGAGCTCGCAGATGTGGATCAGCAGTGGCCTGGGGATTGAGACAACCTACTTGGGGTGACGCTGGTGAGGTGTTGACATGGGTGAGGTGGGTGGGGTGAGCAAGGTGGCAATGCGGGCAAGGTAGAAAAGGAGGATACAAGGAGAGGACAAGGATGAGGGGGCGAGTGATGCTGCGACGCGTCATTTGCTAGAAGCACCTAGTGTGGGAATCTCGGCCTCTGTGCAGGTGGACTCTGCTAGCGTAGTCTCTCATTCGCCTCCTCCACCGTTGCCCTCACCCTCGCCTTGGCCACATTCCGCACGAAGGGTTAGAGCATTTTTGGTGGTTTTCTCGCTGTGTTGAAAGGTGTGTAGTAGTTGCCATCTTACGTGATTGTGTGGGCCGCTGACGAGAAGGTGTATGAAGTCCCCTCAGGCATCAGCTCCGCACCGCTCCCACTCAGCCTGCCCATCCAGGTGAGTCTGTCCCTCTTCCACCGCTTCTCCTCACCCAATTTCTACGATCCATGTCCTACCAGTCCCCCCAATGGTGTGCTTGCCGTCTTTCTCCGCTCATGTCAAGTACTAATGCAGTGAACTCGTCTTCACTATGGACTGCATCAAGGAGTTCGACCGGTGCCCCACATCACCCTCCACTTCCACGAGCAGGACTGCAATGCGTGCCGCCAAGTCTGGGCTGCGCTCCTTCATCGTATGGGGCCCACGCCACAGTGGTTGAAGGGATGCCAGATAGTCGTCGGGGGCACGTGAGGTCATCCCACCCAGGGCGCATGCTAGGGGTTTCGTGGACACGCCCTTCATGCTCTCAGCAGTGCCTCACAACACCGAGGCCTCAGGCGTGGTCTCACATGCTATGAACGATGAAGGGAGGTGGTGGGGGTGTTTGTCCACCCAGTGTGGACTAGCTGCGACAGCTGCAGATGAGACGTCTGCAATCCGGCGCCATACGCAGTACACATTCGGCGGCGACGGCGGTGCACCATACACATTGGGCCCTGGCTCAGTGGGCTGCTAGGGTACGACCCGTGCGCGTGATACCTGCCCGCCTTATAGACCCTCGTCGTGTGGGAAGCCCGCTGTGTTGGGCAGGAGTGATAGCTGTGCGAATGCGAATGCGAACCCGCTGACATTGTCCTTGACGCTCGTGCGTTGCAGGCCAGGTTGTTGCAGAAGTGACATCAATTGATCGGCCTGGTATAGTGGCCAGAGGTGCGAGTGGAGGTACGAACTGGCGTCGACTGTGCCCTATGCCGATTGACCGCCTACTGTAGCACTTCAATACCTGACCCGCTTCGATAGTACCACTTTAATACACAATTGACTTGAGTCCGCTTGTGAGTCATGATATATCACTTGTGTGCCCTGGAGTGTGTACTAACTGCGACAGTGCAAGCAAAGTGGTTCTTATCTAATAGCACGCAGAGTGAGCGAGTGCTCAGTCGGAATGGAGAGACAACTAATTATATCATACCTAATAGCACGCAGAGTGAGCGAGTGCTATGGGCGACGTAAGTACATGTGTCGTAGACAGAGTACCGTAGGAGACATACCTCAGTCGGAATGGAGAGACGACTGAGGAGAGAAGCGCAAGCGCCAGCGCGAGATAGACACGAGCGCGGGCGCGGCCGAGCGGAGTACAAATAGTAAGTAAGAGTAAGTAAGAGTCCATCTAATCGAGTTGTAAACACCATTCTAACACTCCCCCTCAACGAGAAGAGACGGACGTAGGTGAGGAGAGTCCCAATTGCGCTGCGAAACGGAGGTGTGTAACCGGAGGGAGCGCCTTCGTGAAGATGTCGGCGACATTGTCCTCACCACGCACATGCTTCACGACGAAGTGCTTGCGCTGGACCGCTTCATGAACCCAGTGCAGCGCGACGTTGATGTGCTTGGTGCGGTTCGACACAGCATCAGGCTGGTTGATGTACCCGATCGCGCCTGTGCTGTCCATGTTCTGCGTGGTCGGTGGAGGTCGAGGGTTCGTCGGCATGAGACGAAGCTCCTGGTAGACTGAGCGGAGCCAGAGGACGTCGCGTCCACAGTTCGCGGCTGAGTAAAACTCGGCCTCAGTTGTAGAGGCAGCGACAACGGTCTGCTTCCGTGCGGACCAAGAGACGACACCCTGGCCGACGAAGACACAGTGGCCAGACGTGGACTTCATCTTCGCCGTGTTTGCGTAGTCAGCATCGCACCAGGCAACAGGGTCGATCGGACCTTCGCCGCCCACAGTGAGGACGAAATCGCGGGTCTTCTTGAGGTACTGGAAGACGCGCTTGACAGCGAGGTAGTGTGAGCGATTCGGGTTCGCCATGAACTGAGCGACGTTCTGGACAGCCTTCGCAATATCGGGTCGAGTCCAAACAGCGATGTGCATGAGTGTACCGACAGCTGAAGCGTACTTGAAGTTCTTCATGAACGCTGCGTCCTTGTCCGAGAGCGAATCGACCTGGGGAGTGAGGCGTACACCGAGTTCCATGGGCGAGTCAGCTGTGCGGGCATCAACGAAGCCAAACTCTTTGAGTGCTGCGTCGATCTTGTGCGTGTGGTTGAACGATACTGTCTTCGCCTTGAGATCGCGTCCGACCTTGACACCGAGAAGGACCGATCCTGCGATGGGTCCGTTGTCCTTGATCGGGACATGCGATGCGATCTCGGCCTTCAGCTTCTTCATCAAGCGTTCAGACGGGCAGAAGAGTGCGAGATCATCGACATGCGAGGTGATGATGGTGAGGTCGTGGTCGCCCCGGATGCGGTAGAAGACGCAAGGGTCAGATCGACAGATCTTGAAGCCAAGTTCGATGAGGATAGCGCAGAGCTTCTTGTACCAGAGATGGCCGGACTGCTTCAGACCGTAGAGCGCCTTGCGGATGATCCAGACGAAGTGCTCCTTGCCTGGCTCCTCGAAGCCGGGTGGCTGCTTGACGTACGCATCTTGGCCTTCAGGTATCTCGCTGTTCAGGAACGCGGAGTTGACGTCGACAACGTGGATGGATGCGCCGCGCATCGCCATGATAGCGCAGATTGCGCGGAGCGATTCAGGCTTGACGACAGCAGCATACGTCTGGTTGGTGAAGTAGTCGACGTTGGGCTCCTGTGAATATCCTTGAGCGACGAGACGAGCCTTGTAGCGTAGAATGCGACCGTCCGTGTCGCGTTTGACTGCGTAGACCCA